GGAAGGAAGGAAGGAAGGAAGGAAGGAAGGAAGGAAGGAAGGAAGGAAGGTCCCTATTCAGACAGTCCCTTAGATATTACCCCAGTTAGCAGTTCACACACTCTGAGGCTGCTTCACCTTTGCCTGCTTTTCTCCTTAGACAGTGTGACCAAGCCTGGCCCCAGCTGACTTTCCATGCCTATAAGACCCAGTAGGCAACCTGGCCCCAGCCATCCTGCCCGTCTACACAGCCTCCATTCATTTCCTACCCCCACCCCAGCCAACAACAGTGTTCATTTGTGATTGGTGGGGGAGCAAACAGGCAAACAGAGAACCGAGGGCTCTGTGGGAGTTAATGTGCCTTCCTGGGGTCTTCTCTCTTCCCAGGCCACCCTCCAGGGCCCAGTAAAAAAGCCCTGAAGCAGCGTTTCCTCAAGCTGCTGCCGTGCTGCGGGCCCCAAGCCCTGCCCTCAGTCAGTGAAAGCAAGTGTCTCTCCTATGCTTCTGGGGGTGGGATGTGCGTGCGTGCGTGCGTGCGTGCGTGCGTGCGTGAAGTGTGATGGGAACTGGGAACTGGGAACTGGCTGGGTCTGAATGTGAAGGGTGTAACTACCAACTGGAATGTATAGGCAGATCACGAGTGCTTGTGAGCATCCCTAGCCTGCAAAATGGTAAACCAGGGCTAGTGCGTTAGGCCTAAAGGGGAGGGGGCGGGGGGTTAGCTGGTGAGGTTGGTCTGCAATTCTGTGGCCTCCCTACTGTTTTAGACCTTGGAATGGTTGTCACCGATGCCGTAACAGGTGACAGGTGTAGAGGATGGAGCCCACCTTCCTAGATGTCAAGATACCGGGGTTTTTCTGTCCTAGCCTGATCTTCAACTGAGTGGTCCCCAATTGAGTAGTGACCTATAGGTTCCATTTCTTCCGCTGAGCCTTGCCCACCTTATAAAACATACTGAATTTTGTAAGCCGTAAAGGCCCAGTAGTTATTAAAGTTGCATCACTCGGATGGTGCCACCACGGGGAGTTAATTTGGGAAAAGAAAGGGACTGTTTATGGGGAGTCCAATTCATCATGAGTGTCTGTGTGCACTGTGATGTGCCTTTGTTGTGGGTCTGGGGTTTGTGTGTTGAAACACTCAAGTCTGTGAGATTTCCTGTGAGTGTGGGGTCAGGGGAGTGTCTACAGTTGGCCTGGTCTTCTGCCGCCTTCTCGGTGACAATTCGCTCCCTTCAGCATTAGCTGCCCCAGCCTCCCTCCGCCCCCACAGACCCCGCCCGCTGGACCCAGGTGACTTACTCTCCTGGTTGGGGCGGGATGGGGGTACTTGCTTGGGGGGGGGGATAGACATTGGGAGCTAGGGTGGGACTGAGGGTGGAGTTGGGATTGGGGTCTGAATGATGATTGGCTGGAGCTGGGCGGGGCATGGCTCGGGCATGGCTGCGATGGGTAGGGGTTGATTGGGATCGGGTTGGGTTACGGGGTCCTCCAGAGCTGGGGTTGGGCAGCTCTAAGTTGGTTCAAGAAAGGCTCCGACCTTCTGGCGTGCGCGGGGGGAGGGGTACGGGGGGGGGAGAGAGGTTGGGGAGCCATTCTATCCCCTTAATGAGAAGATGCAACAAGGGGCTGTCTCCCACCAAGGGCCCGGGGCCAGTGCTGAATCTGGAGCTAAGCATAGCCTTAGCCCCAACTGCCCTAGAAGCTCACCAGTGCCTTTTTGTCCTTCGACGTTCTTGCTCAGAGTCTGGCAAACTGTTCTCTGGGGTGTGGAAGATGGGGCAGGGAGAAGGGGATGTGGGGGATGGATTAGTTACTTTGAAGATTACCCAAATGATCTCAGGGACCTGACCTGAAGGAAAACTATCCCCCTACCACTCCCCGCAGACAGCGTGGAGGATGAGTTTGAACTGTCCACGGTGTGTCACCGGCCTGAGGGTCTGGAACAGCTCCAGGAACAAACCAAGTTCACACGCAGAGAGTTGCAGGTCCTGTACCGAGGCTTCAAGAACGTGAGTGGAGGGTGTAGCCAGCTGGGCAAGGGCTGGGTCGGAGAGGCCTAGTTGACCTGCAAGTATTGGGAAATACCGCCTGGCTGCTTTGAAGAAGGAGATGGGGCCTGTAGACCCAACTTCTAGCCTGAAATTCGGGGTGCTGGGGTTGGGAAGCTGGGCTTGTGATGCTTTAGTTCATGTTTATTTGTACACGGGGAAGGAGTCTGCTTGCTAGTCCTTACCAGAACTCTGTGGTAAGTTCCACAGAGGCAGGATGATCTTTTTTTTCCTCCTTCTGGGAGTCTCTCAAAGGGTGGTGAGTGGAAAGGGAGAGAGAGGGGTTTGTGTGTCTATTCAGTCTTGTTGTCCCCGCCCAGGAATGCCCCAGTGGAATTGTCAACGAGGAGAACTTCAAGCAGATTTATTCTCAGTTCTTTCCCCAAGGAGGTGAGGAGTCAGACACCCAAGGGGGCGATAGTTGCCCATTCCTAGGCTGAGGTGGGAAGAGGGTTCTGGGAGTGCTGAGGAGAAATGAATATTCCTGGCCTGCCTGAAGACCCTGTTCATGTCCCACACTCATCCACAGACTCCAGCAACTATGCTACTTTTCTCTTCAATGCCTTTGACACCAACCATGATGGCTCTGTCAGTTTTGAGGTGAGCTAGGAGAGATGGGTCACACAAGCCTGTTCCCCTGGGCTTCTGTGGGGGCCAAGGTTTCCATGACAAGCCCAAAGAATGGGTTGGCAAAGTTCCCCCCGCCTCCTTTCCAGGACTTTGTGGCTGGTTTGTCGGTGATTCTCCGGGGAACCATAGATGATAGGCTGAACTGGGCCTTCAACTTATACGACCTCAACAAGGATGGCTGTATCACAAAGGAGGTGCAGGGCCACCGGGGGGCAAGAGGGGTGCTGGGTGGGTGCTGGGTGCTAGTGTGCAAAGGGATCTGATACAGAGCAACGTATCATAGGTGTCAGCAGTAGGGGTGAGTGAGGTGTGTCCTTGGTTCTAGGCCCCTAAATTTGGAGACTAGAGGCTCTTAGGAGAAATCTCATTTGGCTTAACAGGAAATGCTTGACATTATGAAGTCCATCTATGACATGATGGGCAAGTACACATACCCTGCCCTCCGGGAGGAGGCCCCAAGAGAACATGTGGAGAGCTTCTTCCAGGTGCCTGGGTCTGGGTAGGCTGGTGGCCCTGGAGTGGAGGGAAGGACACCGGGCCTGAGAAGCTGCTTACCTAAGTATCTCTCTCTCTCTCTCTCCCACTGTCCTCCTCATCTCTCTGCCTGACCACCTCCTTACAGAAGATGGACAGAAACAAGGACGGTGTGGTGACTATCGAGGAATTCATTGAATCTTGTCAACAGGTATAGCCCCACTCTCTACACGTCCCTGTTCTGAACTCTAGACCTAAATATGTGAAACAGGAAAAGGCTCCCCTCAGTTTTACTCAGTCACACCCTGCCTGTGCCCTTCCCCCTGCCTCCCAACCCTGTTCTCTCATGACCAGGGCAGATTTACCCCTTCACCTCAGACCTCCCCTAGGTAACCTTCTTCTTCCTGAATGTCCCCATCTTTGATTAAATGCCTTTCTCTGTGTCTCTGACAAGCTTTTTTTTTTCTCTCTCTCTCTCTTTTTACCTGCCTCCCTCATGCCATGACCACAGGACGAGAACATCATGAGGTCCATGCAACTCTTTGATAATGTCATCTAGCTCCCCAGGGAGAGGGGTTAGTGTGTCCTGGGGTGACCACGCTGTAGCCCTAGTCCAGGTGATCCTACCCCTCCTCTCCCCAGGTCTGTCCTCATCCTCCCTGTACCCTGGGGGCTGTAGGGATTCAATATCCTGGAGCTTCAGTAGCCCAGATCCCTGAGCTAAGTGGCAAGAGTAGGCAAGCTAAGTCTGGGAGGGGGGCAATTCCTAACCCCCGATGGCTCTCACCCCCTTCTCGACTGATACCCAGTGCTGAGGATACCCCTGATGTAGTGACTGAGTGGTTCTCTGCCTCCCAACCCCACTCTAGAAACCACATTAGACAGAATGTCTCCTGCTATGGTGCTTTCCCCATCCCTAATCTCATAGATTTTCCTCTAAGACTCCCTTCTCAGAGAACATGCTTTGTCCATGTCCCTGGCTGGCTTTTCAGCCTAGCCTTTGAGAGCCCTGTAGGAGCAGGGACAAGAAAGCAGAAAAATTTTGGCCCTGAGCCCAGTGATTAGGTCCTAGGAATTGACTGGAGTAGAAACCAGAAAGGCTGGGCAGACTGTGAGAGTCCAGGTGGGCTGTCACTGCCAGGTTCCACGGGCCTGCTGTCCTGGGTCAGCAGAGTATGAGTTTCCAGACTTTCCCAGAAGGCCTTATGTCCTTAGCAATGTCCCAGAAATTCACCATACGCTTCTCAGTGTCTTAGGAGGGCCTGGGATCCAGATGTCTGGTTCATCCCTGAATCCTCTCCCTTTTCCTTGCTTGTATGGTGGGAGTGGTGGCCAGGGGACGAAGAGGGAGCGGTGTCCTGGATGATGCTTGTCAAGGTCCCACCTACCCCCCCACCCCATCAGCTGCTCTGATGACAGCTTTTTGATTCTCCGTGACCCCTATCTAGTTATAGAGGCATGGAAGTGAGTCAGGGATTTCCTGAACTTGAGTTTTATCACTCCTCCTAGTGGCTGCCTTAGGGGAATGGGAAGAAAAAGATGGGCACTCCATAGGGACCCAGTGTGAGGGCATTCATTAGAATCTTTGCCCGGCTTCCCACAATGCCCTAGGATTCCCTAGGGTCCCCTCTCCCTCTATTTAGTCTACCCAGGGATGCTCCAGAGCTCACCTAGAGGGCAGGGACGATAGGATCCAATTCCAACCTATTGTCAGCACCCTGCCATGCTGCTGCTCCTCACTAATAAACCTGCTTGTCTCATTCAGTGCCCCTTCCCAGTCAGCCAGGGTCTGAGGGGAAGGGCCCCCCTCCCCCTCCCATCAGACATTGTTGACTGCTTTGCATTTTGGGCTCTTCTATCTATTTTGTAAAATAAGAAAGACGCCAGATACAATAAAATACATGGCTGTGCACAGCCCGCTGTCTCTGCCTCCTTATCCCCGATACCCTACAACTGCCACAGTGACAGGCCTGCAGACCTTTAAAGTCTCAAGGAAGTGCTTGTCTTTTCAAGTGTGGCTATGACTTGGCACATAACCAAGACTCGGGTTGGAAATCCATCTGACCCCTACACGGATCTCCTCTCGTGACTTGAGAGGACACAGGAAAAGATAGGATGCTGTCTAATGACAATATGTACCAACCATGTTGTCTTTTTTTCCCCCTTTGCCATAAATGTGTTTTATTCCAGTTCTGGAAAATGAATAATTTGCCATTTCAACATGAATGAGAATTCTGAAAACTGAAGTAAATACACACATATGACTATATAGACATATAAAGATATGTCATGTGTATATACATTTACATATTTTCAGATTTTAGCTTCACTGATGTCTGAACCTTTGTTCTTGTGTTCTCTCTCTCCTTCCTTTTGAGAAAATGTTTCCTAAACAAGGATGACCTTCAGTAGTTTTTTCTTAACCTTGTTGTTATTGTTGTTAGCATACACAGTAATAGGGTTTCCTATGATTTTTTTTCTTCTTTCTGTGTGCCTGTTTGTATGTGTATGTGTTTTCCGTGTGGGCTGTAGGGGCTCCTGCGTGTGCCTATGGCAGCCAGAGGGCAATGTTTGAGTGTCTTCTTCCAGCCTATTTTTTGAGGCAGGGTCTCTCACTGAAAATTCAGCTCACCTATTAAGTTAGACTGGCTGCCCCAACACTTCCCTGGAATCGACCTGTCTACGGCTGCCCAGTGCTGGGATTAAGTTTGCTTCCTAGCCCAGCTAGAGGTCAACTCTGGGAGCTCAGTGGCAAGTACTTTACCAACTGAGCCATCTTCTCCCATAGCATATACCCTTATATCTTCTCATCCGTACCCGCTCAGCTACCGTCCTTCGCCTACCTTGCTGGTCTCCCTTTTCCTCCCAGTAGTCTCCCTTTTGCTTTGGGGGGTGTGTGTGTGTGTGTGTGTGTGTGTGTGTAAAACTCTAGATTCTGCAGATAAGAGGAAATGTATACTATTTTTTTCCTTTCTCCCTTTCTTTACATCCTGATGACACAGTTCCTCTCTCCTTTCTTGGGGCATTGTTTTTCGAGGCAGGGTGTCGTGTGTCCTGGCTAGTCTCAAACCCCTCTGTAGCTGGCCATGATCTTGAACTCTGAATCTTCTTAAATTTCCCCTTCTCAATGCTGGGATCATAGGCAAGTGGTACCACTCTTTCAATGTTTTAAAGCTGAGTAAATGCCTGGCACCAGCCCGCATAAGGAACTAGCTGCTGTGGATGGACTCTGTCCACACACAAATGACAAGGCTGTTCATTCCCACTGGAGAGACAGGATGCTACAGTGTATATGGCATATACAGTGTATGTGGTATAAACAGTGTATATGCTATTGTTGGACTCTAAGATCCAAAACAAGGGGACACACTCCCACAGAAACACACACAGACAGGACTCGCTGCAATCACATGAGGTTTGGTTTAATGAAATTAGTGCACTAGGACTGTCTCGCATGCAGGCAAGAGAGTGCCGAACAAGAGCTGTGGACAGTACTTATAGGTACAGTATAGTTCACGAGGGCAAACCACGAAGTCTGACCTTTCCAGGTTCAGTCCCTAGGTGACTCAGATTATGACAAGGAGTGTCCACCGTTTACCCAGGTTTATTACATTAAGGGCTCAGCTTCCTGATTCCTGGAATGTGTCTGCATGCTCTGGGCTCGCTGCACTTGCAGGTGGGTTCCCTCCCATGTGGTCTGAGGAATGTTAATCAGCCTCTCCCGTCCTCCTCTGAATGTTAATCCAGCAAGTGTCCTCTGACTAAGGAACGTGCCCCTCCAGGGATGTGTCCTGGGACAGTGGGGTTCTTTTAATCTTAAATTCAAACCCAAAAATCCTTAAGTTCGAGACCCAAAAATCCTACATTTAGACCCAAAAGTCTTACAGTATATACGGTATATGTGCTATATACACTATATATGGCATCTACAGTGTATATGGTACACACTGTGTATGGCATACACAGTATATATGGTATATACAGTGTATATATATGAGCTTTTCTTTGATCAGCTCAGTACAAGTTTTCATAAAGGCAAGTTGTCTTTTTTGGTAACCTCCCCCTTTTTTTTAAATGTTTGAGACAGGAACACATGTAGCCAGGCTCAAACTCCCTTTGTAACTAACCAAGGATGACCTTGAACTCCTGACCCTCCTACCTGTGCCTTCCAAATGCTGGGATGGCAGGCATGTTCCAACACGCTCAGCTTTGGCAAACTTCTTAAATTCTGAATCAAAAATTTCAGACTTCAGGGCTACACAGAGAAACCCTGTCTCGAAAAAAACAAAAAAACGAAAATTTCAGACTTACATTAATTAGTTACTCCGAGAATGCTGTCTTTTGAGAAATCCTTCCTCCCTCCCTTCCTGCCTTAACTGAAGAGAGTTGGGCATTATTAAAGAGACAGTGCACAGTTAGTGAGCTGGCTCAGCAGGGTAAGATGTTTCCTGTCAAGCCTAATGCCTGGAGTTCCATCCCTGGGATGCTCAAGGTGGATGAAGAGACACAGGCTTGCCTCCAAGCCTGAGGAGACTTCTGTCCCTTGAGCCCTCTGATCTCCACATGCACACAAGTCACCAATTCACAAGTTGTATGGATTAAAAAAAATTTCTCCGTGACTCGGTGCAGACTGTCTGAGGCAAGAAGGACCGATTTCCTGAGCACTTGTACACTGCGGGTGGTGAATGGTGGGTTCCTCCATTGTGTGCTGAGTCATCCAAAGGAGGAAGTCAGGCCCTTCCGCTTCCAATACACAAATGACGAGGTCAGTGGAAAGGTTGGTTTCAAAGAAGCAAAAGCTCCCTGTGGGACTAAATAGTACATTGGAGGCCCCTGCTTCCGTCCCCAGCATCACAGAACGCATCTAACATATGGAGTGGTTTTATTGTCTGTTTTTCCTGCATATCTCATCCGAGAACCCTCTTCCTTTGGTTCTTTGGTTTCAAATTAAAGATCTGATCAAAACTGTGGGCCCACTATCCACAGTGGGTGAGAAGGGGGTGGGGGGTGGGGCTAAGGTTTGCTGTTTGTTTTGGTTTTGAGAGGTTGCTGGGTGTGAAAGCCAGTGCCTGGTACCTACTGTACAAGCACTGTCACCAAGCTGTACCCCCCACACACACCCACCCACTCTCATAAATTTTGGATCCCTGAAGTTCATCCTCAGATCCTAAGTCAAGAACCTAGGATGGAGTATACCCCTCCAGATTTCCTTTTTTTGATGTTGTTGCTGTTGTTGGTGTCTCTAGAATTGTCATGGGGGAAGTGGGGGTTCAGTCTGTGAGTTCTAAGGCTCAGTGTTAAATGAGTCTTAGAGACAAGACTCTGAAGGAAGCTCAGAAGGACTGCTTTACTATTTTATTAGCATCTGAGAGAAAAACAACAGGGCAGGCAAGCTGTAAATCTTAGCAGCTTGGAGAAGAGGAGGAAAGGTTTGAGTTTGGGGTCAGCAATGATGTTCTACACACTGTAAAAGGCAGGGGAGGAGTCTTCCAAAAACCAAAGCTCAGACTGTAAAGGCAGCCACCATGCTGAGAGCTTTGGCTGGCGTTCAAACTAGAGGAGGAAGGAGGAAATGGCAAAGTTATACTTTTTGAGTTAAAACTCAGAAGAGCTGGCAGGCTCAGCAGATATCTGTACACAAGTTGGTGAAGGAGGGAAGATAACTGTTCCTCCCAGTTTGTTTCTGTTCGTTTTTGTTTTTAGAGACAGGGTTTCTCTATGTAGCCCTGGCTGTCCTGGAACTAGCTCTGTAAGGCCAGGCTGGCCTTGAACTTAGAGACCCACTTACCTCTGCCTCTCAAGTGCAGGGATTAAAGGCATGAACCACCATGCCCAGCTTCCTTCATTTTTTTTTTTTAAATCTTTAGATGAATCAGTATTCCTCTGGAGTGGTCCCGGCCCAATGATTTTCAGGCCTGATTAGATCCTACCTCTTTTATTTCTGAATTTTATGCTCAAGAACCATTTTATTAGAATTTAATTAGAAAAACAACAAGAAGAAGAAACCAGGGCAGGCAAGTTGTAAATCTCTGTAGCTACTGGGAGGAAAGAGGTGGAGAAGAAAAGTGAAGACATGTCTTTTTGAGTTAAGGTCCAAGAAAGCTGGCAGGTTCAGCAGGGGAGGTTGGCAAGGAGCTGCCTGGAAGAGAGGGATGGAGATTTCTGAGAAAACTACATAAAGCCTAGAGTGTCTGGGAAGCAAGCGTAGGACTGGGCTGGTATCTGAAGAAGATAGAGAAGTTATGATTAGCTTCCAGCTGGATTCATTCCTGAGGGAGGAGACAACAGTATGTAATATTCTAGTTCTTGATGCAGGTGGGATGGAATGTCCTACCCAAGGCCAGAGGCAGAACTTAGAGTCTGTTCTTTTGACCTGGAGAAAGCAGCTTTCCCTAAAAGGGCCTCAACAAAGTCTTGATACTTCTGCCTTCTCATAAGGTATTTTACACCTTAAAAAGGTATTTTACACACACACACACACACACACACACACACACACACACACACACACACACGTATGACATCATGTGTGGAGCCAGGTGTCATTTCTCTCCTTCCACCATGTGAGCCCAGGCACCTTTATGCCCTGAGCCAACTTGCCTGCCCTGGTATTTTGACTCTTAAGGAGAGGCATTTGTGACATAGCTAGTTTTAGAGTTACCAGGGAAACAGGAGGTAACATCCACAGCTGATTGTGATCGAACAATCCATCTTAACTGGCTACCTAATAGACTTACCTTTTTTTTTTTTTTTTTTTTTTTCCCAGAGCTGAGGACCGAAACCAGGGCCTTGCTCTTGCTAGGCAAGCACTCTACCACTGAGCTAAATCCCCAATCCCTAGATTCAGTCTCATTATGTAGCCCAGGCTAACCCAGAGCTCAGATCCTCTGGAATCTGCTTCCCCAGTTGCTGGA